CCCTACACGGTACCAGCCTTAGAATAATAATAATAAAAAAAAATCACACAGAGTTGGAGGAGAGGGGTTATTTCAATAATTAATTTATTAGAAAATATTTGCTTGGGGGACCAGCAGTTAGTGTAATGGCTATGTCGCTGAACTCCCTCATGCCGGGCACATGCCCAAGATCCCAAGAGGAGAATGGAGAAGAGATTGTGGCGTGGCCGTGTCCCCTGGGTGGTGATTTCTCACTTTCTATCTCTCTGTCTCGTGCACGTACCCTATAGCAAAAAACTCTACCAAGAAAAGAAAATATTTACTTGGAAAATAGTTCCATTTTGTGATCTACTTGGCATCTAACTAAGTTTTTTAATTGTTGAGTCTCTCTAAAGGTTCTTGAGCCTTTCAGATTAGATACCATAAGAGTTTAGTAATCACACATATTAAGTCTAGCTACTAAAAAACACCAGTTTATTAAAAAAAAAAAATCTAACTGTATTCAGAAAACATACCTAGTATTTAAAACTATCAATATTCAGGGACCGGCAGTTAGCGTAATGGCTATGTCACTGGACTCCCACGTAGTTGACCACGGTTCGCGTCCCGGACCCAGTGGCTTAAAGCTCACGCCGGGTGCGTGTGCGTGCGTGCCCAAGATCCCGAGAGGAGAATGGAGGAGAAGGGATTGTAGCATGACCATCCCCCCTGGGGGTGATTTTTCGCTTTCTCTCTGTCTCTGTCTGGTGAGCACACGCACCCTATAGCAAAAGCCTCTCCCCCACACACAAAAAAAAAAGAGAAAGAAAAAAGAAAAAAAAAACTATTAATATTCCTTTTACTATGAAAATTATTCAATCCAAAGATTGTGGAATTTCCTCTTGGAATCCCTATACAGTACAGCACCAAAGATTAAACTAACATAGCAGAAAACACAGATTCTTGACAAGGCTATCTCCCTGCCAGTTCTATTAGGGTGGGGGAGAGGATTAATAAGAATCAGATTTGGGTATTACTATGTATGTGATTTAGCCCATATTACAAGACATTCTGGGAAAACTAACAAGTATGAGGAAACTTGAGAAAATATGTGGAAAACTGAAAGTAAAGTGCAAATTTATTTGGGCACAAAAAATTTTTAAATCTTTGTATTGTTTTTTCATAATATGCAATTTCTATTAACTTTTTGAAGGCTCTAGCATATAATCTAAAACTGCCTCAAAGCCAAATTTTCTGTAATCCACAGAGGATCCTGTGTATGGCTCCTCTACTGCTAATATTTCCCTGTTAGGTACTTTCCACAATTATTTTCATCAAGTAACTGTCATTTCCACAATCAAACACATTTAAAATGATTAAATATGATAAGAAATCACCAAGATACACATGTTAACAAAGTCAAAAAACAACTATAGTGTTATTGTTACTGACAGCATACAAACAAATCTAACCCTTCATATAAGATAAAATGAAAAAGATATCTGTATATAAAAGACATATGCAAATGGAATTAAATTAGGAGGTAAGAAGTAAAAACAGTTCGCACCTGCAATGTACAATTCTCTTTTCGTTTGAGGAACTCCACAAACCTGGCCACTACTCCTGGTGTGCTGATAACTTCATCAATAGGAGGGTTGGGTTCTGTTCCCCACAAAATAAAAGAAGAAGAAGAATGCTTTGATTTCAATGCAAGCACTTTATAGCTCAAAATTACTTCATAATATTCCTCCCTCTATTTACCATCTCCTTCAGGTTGAAAATCTATCTAAGAGAAAGTAAAGTTGGGTTTGGTCACTTTGACACTAAGGCAGTTTGAAAGGATTCACAAAGAAGCCTTACTATGAGACTGAAGGATGGGCAAAAGTCTTAATAATTTAAATTATTGCTGCCTAGAAAACTTAGGAAAGCAAGGAAAAACATACAACTACAACTACTATTCGTACTTTGGTATACCTTCCTTCTAGCCCTTTCTTTGTATGTGTGGTTTCACTTTGTTCTGTTTAATATATACTGTCTTGAAAAATGGCATTACAGGATTCTCAGTACACATGCAGAACTTGATTTTGTAGCTGCAGTAATAAGTAGGAACCAGAAGAAGTTCATTAAGACTGACTTGCCAAATTAATCTTTTTCACTTATGATAATACAGTATCTTACAAATGAAGTTATTCAATAAAAATGTATAGGGCAAACAGGTAAGAAATGTCATGAACATTAGTCATTTCACCAAGAGACTTGATAAAATTTTTGATGGCAATGCCAGGGAAATGGCAGTTAGAGCACTGTACCACTACAGAGATTCTTAGCCAAGTGAAAGGCCTTACTGAAAGAAGTGACTACTAGTTCGTTGTTAATTCAGAGAGTCCTAATGACACGTCCATCTTTTGACTGGTTCGGCATTTTAAAAAATTTATTTATTTAATTTTATTTACCTATTCACTAATTTCTTAAATTTGACCAGAGAGAGACACAGAGAAAGAGAGAAAGGGAAAGTGAGAAAGCAAGCCACCAGGTCTGGGACTTGAACTGTGGCCGGCCATGTGGGAGTATCCAGGGCCTTAACCACCACACCACCTGCTGGTCCCTGGTTCAGCATTTTTAATCAACCACAAAGATAAACCTGGTAATTACAATAAAAATAAACTATTGGGAGATCCAAAAAGTCATGCAACATTTTTACATAGAAAAAAAAAATATGATGTAACATTTACAAAGACCCAATAGGTACTATGCTAAATTACATAAATAACATGTAAAAACAAGTCCAAATTATTAACAAAACAACAGAAATGAAACAAAATTCCAACTGGGACCAGCAGATGGCATTAATGACTATGTTGCTGGACTTCCATGTAGTCGACCGTGGTTCAAGTCCCGGACCCGGTGGCTTAAACTCACACTGGACGCTTGTGCGTGCATGCCCAAGATCCCAAGAAAATGGAGAAGAGATTGCAGAGTGCCCATCCCTCCTTGGGGGTGATTTCTTGCTTTCTGTCTCTGTCTTTCTGGGGAGCATACACACCCTACAGCAAAAACCTCTCCAAAAAATAAAAAATAAAAAATTCCAACAACTGACTTTTTAAATAGTCAACTAGGAATGCATTGTGACCACAGTGCACTAGGGAGTGCCCCTCCACCCCTACCCGTGTCTCCACCTCAGGCAAGTGCATGAACCCACTAGCAATTAAAAAAAGGAAAGTGCTAGGGAGTCTAGTTTGCTGAACATTCAATGAAATACTACTATGCATGACTATCAAAATAACTAATGTTATCCTGCACTGCATTACTCGAATAGTCCTAGTTTAAGGAAGTAACCCCTTACCACACCCTATGGTAAGTAGTGAGTATATCTTAGAGTATTGCATTCTAGTTGTCACATTTTTAAGAGAGAGACTGGCAAACTATAATAGAATACATGCAGGAAAGCAGAGTGGAGTGGTAAAAAGCCTTAAAAGACACACTAGAGGGGCCAGGCAGTGGCATGACAGTTAAAGTTGTTGAATCCCTCATGGTCGACTATGTAGTTCAAATCTCAGAACCAACAGCTTGAAAAACACACCAAGTGAGTGCGTATATGTGCCCAAAAATCCCAAGAAAAGATTGGAGAAGACATCGGGACATGGCCATCCTCCAAAGAGGTATTTTCTCACTTTCCGTCTCTCTGGCAAGCTCACATGCCCCATAGCACATTGAAGGGAGGGGAAAAAAAAAAAATGACACATTATGGTCCAGCCTCAGTGACACAGGCAATACGGCACTGGCACATGATGACAGAGCTGCATGGAGGATCAAGGTTTGGTTCCCAGAACAACACATAGGTGAGGCAGCTAACAGGGAGGCTGGGACAGTAGGATTATGGCACGGCAAGACTCTGTTTAAAAATATCTCTGTCCCAGCCACAGTGGCAAAGGAGGAGCACACTACTCTGCAATGCTGAAATCACAGAATTCAAATCCTGGGTCAATCCAAACCACATCAGAGGTGCATGTGATTATGAGTTATCTACGCCATCTGTGATCCTGGCTGGCTGGAAGGCTGGGAGATGATCTCACAGTGTGATAAGACCCTGCTGTGGGTGCCTCTCTGTCATAAAAATAAAATAAATAAAATGCCTATCTCCTCTCTCTTTCGTTAAAACAAAGACACATTAGTAAGAAAACCAGTAGCCCCAGCATGTCGAAAACAGATTTTCAGAGGGGTGGGAGGATACACTTTCCCTTTCAATACAGTCATGCACTATATAATGTGTTTCAATCACCTACAGATTGCATATACAATGGTTTTCCCATAAGGTGTACATATGCTATCTCACTTAGGATTGTGTAACTACACTGTGACTTTCACATGACAAAAATCACCCAATGCATGTCTCAGAACATATCCCTGTCATTAAGCAATACGTGACTGTGTTTATTAATTTATTATGCAAAATACATAATTTTTATTAAGGTGGTAGATTTTTATTCCAGTTAACTTCAAAGTATATATTAAAAAATCCTCTTCAATCACCAATGACACTACACAACCACAACTTACTACTGGGGAGTTTAAGTATTTTTTTTAATTATTTTATTTATTACCATTATTATTAATTTTCTATACGGCATATACACTCACAAGAGAGAGAAGGAAAGACTGAGAAAGAAAGTGTGAAAGCAAGCTGCCAGGTCCAGGACTCCAACCACAGTCGACCATGTGGGAGTCCAGTGCCTTAACCACCACATCTCCTGGGGGCCCCAGGAAGTTTAAGTATTTACCAACATTTTAATATGGTTCAGAATTCAGTTTACTAGCCTAGCATGACAACAAGTATTATATTCCATTCTATGCTAACTGTACTCAAAAAGATGGTAACCCTGACCACCAATAAATCCATACTTAACTTTTAAAAGAATAATTATTTATTTTATATATTTATTAATTGATTTTAATTTGACCAGGGAGAGACACATACAGGGGGAGAGAGAGAGAGATTGAGAGAGAGAGAGAAAGTGAGAAAGCAAGCCACCAGGTCCAGGACTCGAATCGTGGTTGACCATGTGGGAGTGTCCAGTGCCTTAACCACCATGCCATCTGCTGGTCCCTGCCATACTTAACTTTTAGTAGTAAACTGCTACTATTAAAATCAATAATTATTGTTCTTTCAAATGATATTTCTAAAATTCTTCCATAAAAAGAGTAAAGTTTCTCAGTTTGAATTAACATAGAATGCTGACTACTAGTCACTACGGTCTTTCATAAAATAATGTTGCTTTCTGGTCCTGGCAAAATCCCACAAACCAGTAAGAAAATTCAAGTTAAGCACAGCTCAATTACATTTATATGTGCCTTCTTATTCACTTATTGATTAATGCACTCCAAAACAAATTACTTATGGTACAAAAAACAGATTATGAAAAAGTAATGTTTATAAAGAGATGAAAAATATACACAACATATTCAAATCTCACCTTTTGAAAGCAGTTTTCTGAATTTCTGTGTTGCTGAAAGTTGTTGCTCAGGGCTATTTGAAAATATCATTTCTATCATGTCAGAAGTAATGACACCACCCTGGGATCACAAATAAAAAAGCAAATACAATTATTAAACATTAACTTTAAATCAAGAAAAAACCAAGGTAATATAAATTATGTTCAGGGCCATCCCAGCAGCACTCTGGTTAAGCAAAGCACACAGGGGGTCAGGTGCCACGCTAGGTACACACACATGCATGCCCCAAATCCTGAGAGAATGGAAACATGGAGGAAAATGATTGTGGCGTGACTATGTCCCACTGAAATTCTCTCTGATAATTTCATGTGTCCTCAGGCAACTAAAAAAACAATTATGCTTAAGTTACTCTCCAGAAGATACACAAAAACAAAGATGGTCTCAGGTCAGCCCACGGATTCTACATGGCTGACCATGTAGTTCAAGTCCTAAACCTGAAATACATACACAAAATCCGCAAAAGAGGGAGAAATGGAGGAGAAGGGACTGCCAAGCATGACCATGCTTCATGAGAGGTGCTATCTCACCCTCCCCCACTGCCCTAACCCCAGTCACTCTCCTGACATTACACATGCCCTCTGGGATTTTTTTTTCTTTTTTATGTTTTTTAATCATTTTTGGGGGGGGGGAGATTTTCACTATAGGGCGCGTGCGCTCACCAGACAGACAGGGAGAGACATAGAGACAGAAAGCGAGAAATCACCCCCCCCAGGGGGGATGGTCACACCGCAATCCCTTCTCCTCCATTCTACTCTCGGGATCTTGGGCATGCATGCACACGTGCCCGGTGTGAGTTTTAAGCCACCGGGTTCAGGACTCGAACCGCAGTTGACTACGTGGGAGTCCAGCGACATAGCCATTATGCTAACTGCTGATCCCTCCAGTTTATTTCTTTTTTGAATTTGGGATATTCAGTCATTAGGCAACAATCTCTATAAGGCAAAGAGCTCATCTCTTTGAAAATTCAAGTGATTTTTTCATAGAAATATTTTTCTTACTCTAAAAAGAATGGAGTATGCCTAAAGGAGAGGGAACCACTTCAGATGATCTGAACAATATATTTAACAGTGTAGGGGAGAAATCTTAAGTGTAGATGCTGTTCAAAATATTGATATTTAAAGAAAACAGCATTTGACCCATTGCCAAAATTTAGATTTTCTTAATTTATTACAATAAAAAGTGTTGATTTTATACTACTTCTTTGAAGCCAGCATGAGAGGCTTAATATAGCAAGAAAATAAAGGGGCAGAAATAAGTATTCAAACAGTAATAATAATTAAGATCACCAATTCAAAGATCTTTGGAACCAGAAGTTAGTATTAATGGCTATGTCGCTGGACTCCCATGTAGTTGACCACAGTTTGAGTCGCAGACCCGGTGGCTTAAAACTCACGCCAGGCGTGTGTGTATGCATGCCCAAGATCCAGAGAGGAGAATGGAGAAGGGATTGCGGCGTGGCCATCCCCCCGGGGGGTGACTCCTCGCTTTCTGTCTTTCTGTCTCTCTTTCTGGTGATCGCACGCGCCTGATAGCAAAAGCTTCTAAAAAAAAAAGATCTTCTATACACAAAAAAATGAGAAAATATTGTTGTAAGAGTTTACAGCACACAAGTAAATTTAATTTTACTTCATTTTTATTATACTTCATTCTTCTTTAAAATTAGTGGAGCCACATTATCTCCTGTCATGTCATTGTGTTTATTATGTGAACCATCACAGACAGGAAACGTCTTAGAACGCCAACACCTACAGTAAGCTGCTTAAGTGAGACACAAATCTTCAATGTTTATTTCATTCACCACTTTGGGATTTTCCTTTTGTATGTTAAGCTTAATCAAGCTGTCCTTCTGCTGTTTTTTCTTCGGGAGGAATGGATGAACTGCAAGGTAGCCAAGTAGTGCCAGCATACCCAGGAGAGGCAATAACCGAAGTCATTCTGAAACTGTGAGCCGAGTGAGCCCAGTAATGCTCTGGGGAACCGGAAGCCGCTTCAGACGGGGGGGTGGGGGGGAGCTGTACCCTCATAATGCAGGCCATGCTCTCCAGCACCACCCCAACCACGCTCAGGCAGATCTGCCACACCTATGTGGAGAGCAGAAGCGGCCAGCAGGCTCCGTGGCCTCGGTGAGGCTATCTTAACTTTTTATAGAGCATAAGTTGTATCCTTTTACATCATAGTATTTAAGTTACAAGCTATCAAGGAGAGTAGTGAATATCATTCAGGAATTTTGCATCCTCTTCTTGGTAAGGAGTTAGTACATTTTCAGTTGTACACCAGAAAGTTACATATTCTTTTTTTTTTTGGAGAGGTTTTCGCTATAGGGCGCATGTGCTCGCCAGACAGAGAGAGACATAGAGACAGAAAGCGAGAAATCTCCCCCAGGGGAGATGGTCATGCCGCAGTCCCTTCTCCTCCATTCTCCTCTCGGGATCTTAGGCATGCACGACCACGCGCCCGACATTGAGTTTTAAGCCACCGGGTCCGGGAGGCGAACCGCGGTCAACTACGTGGGAGTCCAGCAACATAGCCATTACGCTAACTGCTGGTTCCCAAAGTTATATATTCTTAGGTGGATATACAACTTTCTTGTAGTCTTTATTTAAGACTAAGCATGATATAAGAAGTATATGGATGTCAAATTGATAAGGAATAGACTGTTATGGTTAATTTTACATGTCAACTTGACTAGGTAATGGTAGCTAGTTATCTGGTCAAAACAAGTCTACATGTTGTTTCTCAAGGTGTGTCTGAGATGCACTTAACATTTAAATCAATACACCTAAGTTAAACAGATTGCTGCCCATAACATGGGTTGGCCTCATCCAATTCAGTTGAAGAACAAAGATTAAAGCTTTTCAAGGAAAAAGGAATTCAGCTTCTAGACTATAACATCAACTTTTACCTGGATTTCTAGCCTACCAGCTTGTTCTACAGATTTCTGATCTGCCAACTTATAATCACATGAACTCCTTCCTTGCATAGTGATTAAGGCGCTGGACTCCCAAATGGCTCACAGCATTTCAAGACCTGGACCTGGTGGCTTGAAAATCACGCCAGGCACATGTATCTGTGTGCCCTAAATCCCAGGAGGAGAATGAAGGAAAAGGGACTGTGGTGTGGACATCCCCACTGGGGGATAATTTCGCACTCCCCCCCCCCATTATTCCCAGAAGCACACGCACCCTATGGCAAAAATCTTAAATAAATTTCTCACTGTTCTTTTATCTGGAGACCCCTAAGTGCTACAGTCGTCTACGAAACACTTTTGTTCATTTAGAACCAATTTTTAAAAAATGTACTTTATGAGGGACCCAAAGGAATTTTTCACAAAATGATAGTACTGGCTATATTAAGCCTGTATCAATTCTTTTTTTAAAGCAGGATGTTTTTGCTATAGGGCATGGGTGCTTGCCAGAGAGACAGAGACAGAAAGTGAGAAATCACCCCCTGGGGAGATGACCACACCGCAATCACTTCTCCTCCATTCTTCTCTTGGGATTTTGGGCACGCAGGTACACGTGTCCGGTGTGAGTTTTAAGCCGCCAGGTCCAGGACTCAAACCACAATCAACTGATTGAGAGTCCAGTAACGTAACTACTATGCCATCTGCTGGTCCCAAGTCTATATCAATTCTAAAGAGAATTATTCTCTACTCACAGTTCCAAAAAGAAAACTGGTTCATATATACTGAAGATCAATGAAGGAAAAAAAATGTGAACTACTGTGTATTTTATGCTAATTTGCCAGAGGGCACTTGCATGTGATGGAGATGGAGGGAGAAGGAGGAGAGCACCTTCCCTGGGGTATGGACACAGTGAGAGCCCTTCTCCATTTCTCTCTGATTTTAGAATTTGGAGCATGCCTGGAGTATTTCCCAAGCCACTGATGCCAGGACTTGACTGTGCAGTCAACCATGTAAAGTCCAGTCACCCCAACTGGACCCATGCTGTTATTAAAAAGAGAGAGAGAGAGAGAGAGAGAGGGAGAAAGAATATTTATTCTCTTAGGCATGCAGGCTCATGTGCCCACCATGAGTTTAAACCACCAGGTCTGGGACTCAAACTGTGGCCGACTACATGGAAGTCCAGTGATATAACCATTACATCATCTGCTTGTCCCAAACCATGAAATTTTTATTGAATCATTAAGATTTAAGCATGTAGCTTCTTTTTTACAATAAAATATCAAGTATTTTTTTATAGACATTTAACCTTTTCTTAAACCCAAAAAGAGATCTATATCTCATGTCTTAATCACAAAAACACTAAAAAGACTGCTTTTCACTATCCTACTACTTACTGGTGCCATTTCCATGTTATTAACCTGGGCCTCATGAAAGCCTCCATCTGACATAACTTCTTCTTCTGTTTCTTCTTCTGCTGTAGAAACATTTCTTCGTTTGAATAACTGAAAAACAAAAGACTGTTAGTAATGTAATTCTAACACAAGGGAGTTCACACTCTAAACACTAGGCATTCCATTTAAAAGGCTACAGGGATAAAATCTCTAAAAGTCTTTTTAAAAATTCTAAAATTTGTGCTGCCTTCACTCCTCTGAAATTTCTCCACAGCCATGGGACCAGCAGGTGGCTTGGTAGTTAAGGGTGCTGGACTCCCACATGGCCGACCGCAGTTCAAGTCCCAGATCTGGCGGCTTTCTCTCTCTCTCTCTCTCTCTGTCCCTCTCTGGTCAAATTGAAATAAATGATTGAATAAATAAAGTTAAATAAAATAATATTTTAAAAAATTTCTCCACAGCCTTATAATCTAATACAACTATCACAACATACTAACAACTTAATGAGGCAAAACTTACTAAGAGAGGGCTGACACAGCATAACATGGAAAAAATTAAAGGTTGGAAAAAGTAGCTGTGGCATGCTTGGTCATCTCCCTCATCCCTTCATGTTAAGTAGGCAATAGGATAGTCTCTTTTTTCCTGTTAAATCTTTTTTTCTTTGCCTACATTTTTTGTCAACAACATAGTCTTAACATATCAGGAAAAATGAAGATAAAAATTATGTCAGAGGAGCCAGCAGGTAGCATGGTTGTTAAGACCCTGTATCCTACATGGCCAACTATGTGGTTCAAGTCCTAGATCTGGTGGCTTTAATATGCCAGGCTGTGTGTGTGTGTGTGTGGGGGGGGAGTATGCCCCAAATCCTGAAAGAATGAAAGAGACTGGATTGTGACATGGCCATTCCCCCCAGAGGATGATTTCTATCTCCCTTTCTCTGTCACTCTAGTGAGCTCAAGTGCCTATCACCGGGGGAAAAAGGAGATTTGGGTATGAAGTGAGATTAAAAGAACAAAAGAAGGAGAAACGAAGACATCTGAAGATGAAAAGGAACAATTAAAGAAATGTAGTTAAAAATCTCTGGAATATAATTTGAATCAAGAAATAAAGAAAAATGGTGAATTAGAGAAATAACTGGATTGAAGAAACTCATGAAATGACAAGAAAAAAGTTAAATGATTATGAAAATGGAGAAATTAATTTCTCAAGAAGATTTAAAAGCCAGTTGATTTAAAATTGATATTCAAGTTAATATACAAAAACATAAGGCACAAGTATCATCTCAAGAAAACTTAGCACACTTAAGAGAGGAAATTACGCTTCATTCAGAAGTCAGACGGAACTCAGAATGGAAGATGATCTAAATTCCAAAATTCTTCAAAATGAGAGCTTCAAGAAAATTCTAATAAAACAAAATTTTAAAAACATAAGCAACTCTATCTAGAAGAATCACAAGTTAGAAAATCATTATCAAATAAACCAAACAAATACAACTGGAATTGTTACCAAGTTTAAGTAGAGAAATAAGAGAAGCTGCTACTGAATTTGCATCTGTATCCTGTAGAGAATGTCTCCTGGCTGATCTGATGAGCCAAACTGAACTCAAGATCTACTTTGAGGAGCATTATTAGAATATGTACAGATCTTGAAAAAAATCATATGATCTGAAAAATAAAATTTTACTGACTGGACTGTTGACATAAACTGGAACTGTTTTCCATTAAATACATGACATATAAAAAAATCTTTATTAAAGACATTTTTTTTTTCACTATAAGGCGCGTGCGCTCGCCAGACAGACAGAGAGAGACATAGAGACAGAAAGCGAGAAATCACCCCCCAGGGGGGATGGTCACGCCGCAATCCCTTCTCCTCCATTCTCCTCCCGGGATCTTGGGCACGCACGCACACGCGTGAGTTTTAAGCCACCGGGTCCGGGACGCGAACCGCGGTCGACTACATGGGAGTCCAGCGACATAGCCATTACGCTAACTGCTGGTTCCCAAGACATTTTTTGATTTAAAAAAAAAAAAAAAGGCATAATGATTTAGTACTTCCCTACTAACCATCAAGGATAGTGCACTGGGGCTTCTGACCTTACCAATCTATTCAACAACTGTAACAACAAATGACAACTGCCTGAACACTACCTTTAAAACATTAATTTGCATATGCAAATTAAAAAAGTTCTCTCCAAAGTCAGCCCACTAAGGTCCCTTTCAATACCTTTAGAGTACCAACAGCACATTTAGCTAATCCACCAAATCATGATGGAAGAACAGTAACTTATTTTCCCAACTTATAAACTAAACAGCACAGAAAAGACATGAGACGTGCTTCAGAAAATGGAAAACGGGACCAAGGCAGCGATCCCATAGATAAGGAGGGAAATCAGCACCCTAATTACTTCAAATCATTGCCAAGACAGAGTTTCCATGCTGCAGTGTAGGGAGGGTAAGCCCAGAGCTTAGAAGCTTCATGCACTGAAGAAACAGACTCTGGAAATGAGGAGGCCAAGACATATAGAATTCACAAGGCAAAATATTGAAGAAGCAAAATCAACACAGAGCAAATTGCAAGGACTTAACAAAATGTTCCTTTTGAGTCTTAATACAGATAATCAATAAGATGATTATGCAACATAGCAAAACTCTGTATCTTTAAAAAAAATTAACAAAAAGAAGAAAGTAGATTTAGATTAGCTCGAAACACATAAATTCAACTGATATGCTAAAAAAAAAAGAAAATCAAAATCATAAAATGCTTGTAATCACAAAAAGCTGAAAAAGAATGGAAGAGAAAACTATGAACAAAGAAGAGAGAAATCAGTAACAACTGTGGTAAATATTAACTACCAGTGATCACTTTCAATGTCAACTGTCTAAATGCAACGCAACAATCAAATGACAAGACTATCACAGTGGATGAAAAAACAAACCCAAGTATGTGCTGTTTACAGAAACCCTCTAAATATAAAGATATATAGAGATTAAAAATATAGGGTTGGGACCAGCAGTTAGCGTAATGGGTATGTCACTGGACTCCCACATAGTCGACTGCGGTTCGCATCCCAGACCCAGTGGCTTAAAACTCACGCCGGGCACATGTGCGTGCGTGCCCAAGATTCCAAGAGGAGAATGGAGGAGAAGGGATTGTAGTGTGGCCATCCCCCTGGGGGGGTGATTTCTTGCTTTCTATCTCTCTGTCTCTCTCTGGCGAGTGCACGTGCCCTATAGCAAAAACCTCTCCCCCCCCCAAAAGAAAAAATATATATAGGGTTGGCAGGTGGCATGATGGATAAGGCACTGGACTCCCACATGGTCAATCACAGTTCAAGTCCTAGACCTGGAGGCTTCCTTTCTCACTCCCCCTCCCTCTCTTTCTTTCTCTGGTAAAATTTAAAAATAATAAGTAAAATTAAATTTTAAAAAATTCTAAATGGATGGGGGATAAGCACATGGCATAATGGTTACGTCACTGGGCTTCCACATAGTTAACCATGGTTCGAGTCCCAGACCCAGTGGTTTAAAACTCGCTGGGTGCATGTGTGTGCATGTCCAAAATCCAGCATGGCCATCTCCCCAGGAGGCAGTTTGTCGCTTTCTGTCTCTCTGGCAAGTGCACATGCCCTATTGCAAAAAACTCTCTAAAATAAATAAAGATAAGTAAATGATAAATGGATGGAGAAAGATATACCATGTTAGGACTGGCCTATGGTCAACTGGTTAAGGGAACCAGATCTCACTTATAAGGCCAATCACACAGTTCGAATTCAGGACCTGGTGACTTAAAAAATATGCTAGGTACATGTGCATACATGCCCAAAATCACAAAATGAGAAATGGAGACAAAAGGATGCAGCATGACCTTGCCCCCATAGGGTAGCACTAACTCCTCTTCCCTCTTATCTGTTTCTCTCTGGCCAGTCCTTGTGCCTTCTGGCAATTTTGTGAGTGAATGAATGAATGAATGAATAAATAAATAAATAAATAAATTTTAAAAAGACTGAGCCAGCAGGAGGCATGGTGATTAGGGTTCTGGATCCCATATAGCTGATTCTGTGGTTTGAGCCCTAGACCTGGTAGCCTGAAAAACATGCTGTGCACGTGTGCGTGTGTGCCCAAAATCCTGAAAGGAGAACAGAGGTGGGGGGACTGTGGCATGACCATCCCCCCAGGGTGGGTGATTTCTCAGTTTCCCTGTCTGGTGGTTAAGGCTACTGAATGCCACATGGCCAACTGCACAGTTCAACTCCGAGACCTGGCAGACTGAAAAACACACGAGTGTATGTGTGCAAGCCCACAATCTTGAAAGAATAGCAAAGAACAGACTGTAGCATGGTGGCATGGTCACCACCCTCCCCACACACTGATGATGGTTTCTCACTTTCCCTCCGGAGAGTGTATGTACCCTGTAAGAGAGAGAGGTAATAGAGAAGAGACTGTGTGGTGTGACCATCCCCCCCAATGGGCAATTTCTCACTTCCCCCACCTCTCTCTCCAATGAGAGCACGTGTCCAAAGGAAAAACTAAAAAACTACCAATAAATAAATAAATAAATAAGAATAAATTTAACCAAGGAAATTAAAGAGCTGTAGAATGAAATTATAAAACACTGACCAGTCAGTGGTGTGGTAGTTAAGGTGGCTGGATCTCACATGGGTAAATTGAGTGGATCGAATCCCAGATCTGCTGGCTTGAAAGACATATAGGACACATAAGCATGTGTGACCAAAGTCCTGAGAGGAGAATAAAAAAAGGACTGATGAAAAGACATTGAAGAGGGACCAGCAGTTAGCGTAATGGTATGTCGTTGGACTCCCATGTAGCCGACCGCGATTCGCGTCCCGGACCCAGTGGCTTAATACTTACGCAAAGCGCATGTGCATGCGTGCCCAAGATCCTGAGAAAAGAGTGGAGGAGAAGGGATTGCAGCGTGGCTATCCCCTCTGGGGGGGTGATTTCTCGCTTTCTGTCTCTATGTCTTTCTCTGTCTGTCTGGCGAGCATACGCGCCGCGCCCTACAGCAAAAACCTCTCCAAAAAAAAAAAGACATTGAAGACACAAATAAATGGAAAAATATCCCATGTTCATGGACTGGAAAATTAATAT